CCAGTGACGTGGCGTGTCTCCACTGATCGAAAATCAAAAAAAAAAAAAAAAATTATTTTTTTCATACCAACCCCCAGCTGACACCTCACTGGGTGTCACCCCAGCTGGGGTAAAATGCATTTTCCTTTATTCCAAGTAATAAAGTTGTCATTGCTTAGCTGTCATTGTCTTGGTATCCCACTGAGAGGGAGAGGGAGAGGGAGAGGGAGAGAGAGAGATATTCAAATCAAGAGTCGTCGCTTGATGCGTGCGTTAATGAGAGTGACGAGATCGCTTAGCTCATTCCATTCTCTCTCCTCACACTTTCCTTAATTTCTAATAAATTCCGTCCCTCAACAAACCACTCAACTCAAACGCCTCATTTCCTCCCTCTCTCCCTCACTCGCTCCCTTCCTTCATTATTACTATCATTTTTCCTTCTCCTCCTTGTCTAGACTCAACAACAACAACAACAACAAAATATAAATAAATTAAAATAGAAATGGGTGGTTGTTTGTCTTCAATAGAAGAAGCAGATTCAGAGCGTGGGAGTGGGAGTGGGCTTCCAACTAGTAATGTGGTATCGGCTAATGGCGATCTGCACAAATATACAGTTCCCGTGACTGTTTCTCAAGTCCTCCACATGGAATTTCCAACCCTTCCACCATCACCGTCGTCGTCATTGTTATCTACCTCGAATTCCAATTCAAATTTCAATTGGAATTCGGCGAAATTCTTCGTGTGCAGCTCAGACCTCTTGTACTACGATGAATATATCCAAGCTTTGAATGGGGAATACCAACTTCAGCCGGATCAGCTCTACTTCGTCCTCCCCGCTTCTAAGCTTCAGTACCCGATTACTGCCTCCGACATGGCCGCTTTGGCCGCCAAGGCCAGCCTCGCCCTCTCCCACTCCCTCCATAAATCATCATCCAATTCTTCTTCTTATAACAAACCCTCCTCCTCCTCCTCCTCCTCCTCCTCCTCCTCTATCCGTCAAGGTCGCCACCACCGTGCTCGTGCCCGCCAAAACAACATGGCTCGAATTTCCCCCTTCTTAGAAGAAGTCAACATTAACAATAATACTAGTACAAGCAAAAGCACGAGTACGAGTAAGCGTGATAATCATCATCAGAGAGTTCCTTCATCTTCTAATTCTGATGGTAAACATTATTATTATTATGAGATGGTGGAGGAGGACCGTGATGAATTGAAGGGCTTCTCAGATAAGTCTTATCCAGAAGAAGCACTAGGAGTAGCAGGAGGAGGAGGAGTATTATCAAGCTCTGTTTCTGAGAAGAAGAGCATGAGGAGGATCCGGAGTAAGCAGCGGCAGAAGAACAGATACAGATACTCAGGCGGGGCTAAGGTTGCCGTTCGCTCCTTCAGGATCCAGTTGACCACTATCTACGAAGGCTCCGTCCTCCATTTTTATTGATTACCATCACTTCCCCCTTCTTCTTCTTTTTCTTTTTCCCAATTTTTTATAGGATATTTTACAACTGCGGAACCATATGTCACCATAATTTTTTTTTTTTTTTTAAATTCATGAATCATGAGAGCCTGCTTGTCTTTTCTTAATTTATGTGACAAAATGCACCATCTGTGTGTGATCATTTTTACGATTGTACAAATTAAAAAAAAAAATTTATATTAAAAGATATTCATTGTGCCATATCTTTGAAGTGAGTGATGCTTTTCATTTTAAAATTTCTACCATGTGACATTTATAATATCATTGAGGTGATATTTAATTTTTCATTATTATATGACATACCACCTAGTAAAAAAAGTGTAAGATGTATTACTTTATATGGTATTTTTTATTTTAACATAGGAATATAATAAAATTTACAGTATGCATTCTTTTAAAGAGTTTGCATAATGCTCACCCTCTGGTTATGATGTGGAATTGAGATCCTCTCCAGACATTCTCTCCAACCTCCCTCCTTGCAACAGTCTAGATTACTTTAGAAAAGATTCAATGGTCCAGATCAATCTCCTAATAACTCCTCCTGGGATATACTCAACTCAAATACTTTATCTGATTACCATTCACTTAGTGATACTTCTGATAATGATATTGAATTAGGATGTAATGATACTTGTTGTAAACCTATTAAGCAAATCACTGTTCTTACCAAACAAAATCAAGAAAAAATTGCTCTTGTAGAATTAATTAGTAAATTAGATAATCATGAATTGAAGCAAAAATATATTGACAAATTAAAATCATTATTAATTAACAAAGATACTAAACCACAACATGACAAACCCATCATTAGCTTAACAAAAACTTTAGAAAGATTTAAAAATAAACAAAAAGAAGTCACTTTTCAAGATTTACAACAAGAAATTAATCAGATTAAACGTCTTATCAAAGATCTACAAAACAAAGATAAAATTTTAGAAGAAGAAATATCTGTACTAAAAATTAATAAAAATCTAGACAACTTTCAACAAAATGATGCTATCTCTTCTAATAAATCAGAAGGTACTAATGAAGATACTAATCTAGATAATATTCTGTTCGATAATCGATCCAATCCATCTGATAATCCTGAAAATAAAAGATTAAATCTTATCAATAAAATTAATATTCAAAAATGGCATTCAAAAATCAAATTAGTTGTCAATGATTTTGAGTTAGAAGTCATCGCCTTAATAGATACTAGTGCTGATCTTAATTGTATTCAAGAAGGCTTACTTTCTACAAAATATTATCATAAAACAAGTGAACAATTAACTTCTGCTAATAGCAGTAAAATGCATATTAAATATAAATTACCAAAAGTCTATATTTGTCAGAATAATATTTGTTTCAAAACATCATTTGTTTTAGTTAGAAATATGACTGATAAATTATTTTAGGAACACCATTTATATTTTTATTTTATCCATTCACTACTTCTAATCAAGGAATAACTACTCAAGCCTTTGGCCAAACCATAACTTTTAAGTTCTTATCTCCACCTGAAGTTAAGGGCACGCGCGCGGACTCTTTAATTGTTGCCCACCTCTTTCTCTATTACACACAACAACATTCAAACCTCACAATTAGACACCAAACCGAAGAGACAAACACCTCACCGCAGCCCATCATACGGAAGACATTGCCACGGCCACGGCCATCACCACCATCGCAAAGCACCACCTGCACAACCGCAGATCACAGGTTCTCTCTCTCTCTCTCTCTCTCTCTCCCTCGCTCGCTCTCTCGCTCTTAGTGTGTTTGTCTATCGATCTCTCTCTCGCTCACAGTCTCACAATGTCTCTCTCTCTCTCTCTCTCCCCCCCCCCTCCTTACTCTGTTTCCTCCTTTTCTGATTGTGGCTTTAGGGTTTTATATGCTTGATTTATACTTGATTCAGTTGGTTTATATGTTTGATTCAGTTGATTTACTTGATTTATACTTGATTCAGTTGGTTTATATGTTTGATTCAGTTGATTTATTCTTTCAATCTCGCTCTCAGTCGAACCCATTTCAATACATCATTGTCTTGGTTTATATGCTTATATATGATGTGTGTAAAAATGCCTTACTGTTGAATTTGATTTTTGTGTGGTTTTGATTTGTTTCAACCTTGATTGTAAGCTTCCTCGTGGAGAGTGCCCTCATAACCCCTCATAACAAATCGATACTTCTGCAACCATCTCCCTCACTCTCTCTCTCTCTATATATATATATATTTAAAATCCGTTTGGCTGTTGAGAAAATGTAAGAAAATGAGTGAAAGCAGCATTCTTTGGTGAGTAAAAATAATAGAAATAGAGAGAGAAAAACTCTCATCACATTATTTGGCTGACTGAAGAGGTGAGAAATGGTGAGAAGAACTCTATTTAAATTCATTTTTTGTTTCTCACCAAAAATTGATGAGATTTGGTGAGAAACCAAAGTTGCTTTGTAATTGTTTTTTTTCTCTTCAAAATACCTAATTTTTCCATCTAAATACAAAAATTTAAAATAAAATTACACGTGCTGAGAAAGAGTTTTTTTTTTTTTTTCCTCCTGACCTAGATGAGAAATCATGTTCTTGTCATTTTGTTTTTCTCATCTAATTTACCAAAGGGACAATATATAGTTTAGGTTGTTTTTTGCGACCTGAGAACTGTCAATCAATTTAAAATTTTGGGAGTTTTAATGTTTTGTTTAATGAATATGATTACAGAAGCCTTATGTTGTGGAAGAGAGTGACGAGGCTTTGGAGGACAATAAGGAGGAGCCTCAACCACATGGAATTGTTGAAGAACAGGAAGAAAGCGAGATAGTTGAATATGATCTCCAGTTTGAAGGTGAAATTGTGGAACCTGACAATGATCTGCCACAGAAGGTGTGTCTGCGTTGTTGCTCTTATTAAGCAAGCTGATTTTGGATTTTGATAGTCTGTAACATGAATATCTCTTTAACATTGAATTTTGTAGATAGGAGACCCTTCTGTCGAGGTCACAGAAGAAGTAACAAGAAATGAAGATATTATTTCATCACATCATAATGAGAGGCATTAACTACAATCTGTTCTAACTAACTAACTAACTTGTTACACGGCTAACCACTTTCCATTACAACACTTTGTATCTATACTTGTATCTATCTATCTTTGATCAGGTGGCTTATCTTTCACATTCTACACATGCTTATCCTGATGCCTTTGTTGTAACTGTGGCAGTAGCTGTGGCTGGTCCATCTGATCAGTTAAAGCCGTGTGACAGGTTTCTTCAACACTCTTATCATCCCCCCTCAACCGAATAGGGCAAAGAAGCACCAAGAGTTTGTCTTTCAGATATTAAAACTGAGACGAAGGCAAAAGCTTGGTAAAAATATCAGCTACCTGGTCAGAGGTGGGAATGTAAGACAAGGCAAGTTATTTGGAAGAGACCCGTTCCCGAATGAAGTGGCAATCAACTTCAATGTGTTTCGACCGAGAATGAAAAACAGGATTAATGGCGAGGGCCATAGCAGACACATCATCACACCAAAGAAGAGGTGTGTAGGAACAAGAAATAGAGAGATCAGAAAAAAGCTATTGTATCCAACAGAGTTCAGCGGTTGTATAGGCCATAGACCGGTACTCTGCCTCAGTGGATGAGCGAGAGACAGTTGGTTGCTTCTTAACAGACCAAGAAAGTAGATAAGGACCAAGATATACACAAAAACCAGATGTGGAGCGACGATCCAAGCAGTCACTAGCCCAATTTGAATCAGTAAAGGCTTGAAGAAGAAAAGGGCCAGGGCTAAAAGAGAGACCATAATGTAAAATGCCCTTAACATAGCGAAGCAAGCACTTGACCTGAGCAAAATGACCATTAGCAGGGGCTTGCATATGTTGGCAAGCCTGATTGACAGCCAAACCCAAATCAAGTCGAGTAATGGTTAAATACTGGAGGCCCCCAACTAGACTTCTGTAAAATGATGGTTGAGAAAAAGGTAAGGTATCAGTAGGAGTTATAGAAGGATGAGCAGCAAGTGGAGTAAAACAAGGTTTGCAATCCACTAAACCAGCTTTAAGGAGGAGTTTCCCAGCATATTTTTGTTGAGATAAGGAAAGACCATGAGAGTGAGTCTGAACAAAAATACCCAGGAAGTAAGAAAGAAAGCCTAACTCTTTCGTGGAGAAAGCCAAATGCATCTATTGAAGAAGAGATGCAATGAAGTAGGAATCACTACTAGTAAAGAGGATGTCATTGACATAGATGAGAATAATAGTAATAGTGGAAGAAGTCTTGCGGACAAATAGAGAAGAGTCAGAATGACTCAAACAAAAGCCTTGATTGAGCAAAAATTTGGAGAAGATGGAAAACCAAGTGCGAGGAGCTTGTTTGAGACCATACAAGGCTTTCTGGAGCTTACAAACATCAGAGAGAAAAGAGGCATCCATGAAACCCGGAAGCTGATCCATATAAACGTCCTCCTCTAAAGTACCATGAAGAAAAGCATTGGATATATCCATCTACTTGATAGGCCAATGATGATGAAGAGCAAGACATAAAAGAATTCGAATGGTAGGTTGTTTTGCAACGGGACTAAAAGTTTTGTGATAGTCAATGCCTTCTTGTTGAAGATATCCTTTAGCCACAAGGCGGGCTTTATAAAAAGCAATGGAACCATCAGAATTTTTCTTAATTCGAAAAACCCACTTGCAACCAATAGAGGCTTTATAAGAAGGAAGAGGAACCAAAACTCATGTTTGTTGCTTATGTAAAGCCTGAATTTCTTCAGTCATAGCAATAACCCAGACAGAAGATTGCACAGCTTGCTGGACAGAGGTTGGTTCAGTGAAGGAGAGATCAAGAGAAAGAGTAATAAGGGCAAAGGCTTTTGATCTGGTACACATGGGATGGATATTAGAAGAAGATGGAACAGGTGTAGAAGAAGGAGGAGGCAAAGGAAGATGAATGGAAATAGAATTAATGGGAATTAAAGGGACAACAAGAGAGGGAGACTGAGCTAGAAGAGAAGACACAGCAGCAGAGGAAGGCACAGCAAGAAAGGGAGAAACAAATGCTGGAAAAAAAAAAAAGTGGGAGGTGCATTGGAAGAGGACTTTTAGGACACAAGAGTGGACTAGAAAAAAGAAAAAACGGAAGGAAGTGAAGCATGAGGTTGTGACGCAAAAGGAAAACAAGATTCATTAAACAAGACATGCCGAGAAATAAAGATTTTGCCAAAAAGAGGATCTAAGCATCTATAACCTTTAGTAGTGTCAAAACCCAAACCCGCCTCTATGGGTTTAGCACCGTAACCGACCAGTAATCTGTGATTACCGAAGGCCTGATTAACAGTAATACAGAGTACAGGAGCTAGCAGAAGCCAAAACAGTAATAAAAAATGTCCAATGAGTTATGACAGTCTGTATGCAAAAAAAGACTTTTCATACATATTCACATTCAAAACCAAAGCAGTATATACATACATATACAATCATCCAAGACAGGGACCTAATCCCTATTAGAACAGTACAGTACAGGTACAGTCAGTCTATACAAAAACAGAGACAGAAAGGATGAATCTAAAACACCCCAAAAAGCCCTAGCTTGAAGGACTTGGAACCTCTCAGTGAGGCACAGTGGTTGGCTTGACAAAAAGGGAGTTAAACCCAACGCTCCTAGCTTCGATCCGGTGCTTGGACACCTACATATATATATAAACAGTGAGCTAAAACCCAGTGAATAACATATGCGTAAAGAGGTTAAGAATGAATGTCCTTTCAGTATTTAAAACAGTCAGTTATAACAGTATATCAGTCATTCAGTCATAGCAGTCATATGTGGTACATCCCATAGCAAAACAGTACAGTAGGTCTTAACAAACCGAACAGTCAGTTGATGCATCATATCAGTAAACAGTAGTGGTTCCAACATGGGAACCGACAGAGATCTCTGTAACAGTAGCAGTAATAGTACAGTAACAGTAAATTGCTATGGATGCCACGAATACAGTTCGCAAATAGGATAAACATTCATTCAGTAAGAAATATCATTTCAGAATGCAGTACAGTTGGTCATTCAGAAAATATTCATGATTAAATATATCTTTACAACATTGTTACTCACAGAGTTCTGGGCTACAGATAGGCTAGTGAGTGTCCTCGGATGCCAACCCTACACAATTACAGGATAAACACACACTAAGTTACACGTTTGGGAAACAATGACTTAGTCCCTAACTTGACTCGGTGTAGCTCTACATCAATATCCTCATTAAGATGCCTTAAACTAGGCCTAGGAATGCCTAGGATGGAATAAGGATGCAAAGATGCACTTTAAAACACTTTTCAAATTTTCAGAAAACAGGGGTCTCGCTCGAACGTGTCTTTCTACGCTCGAGCAGACATGCAGACAAAAGATCTCCGCTCGAGCGTGACTTTCCCCGCTCAAGCGGACTGCAAACTCAGGGAAAAGTACTGGATGCATGCAATTCACGGTCGATGGGCGCTCGACCTCCGCTTGAGTGTGAGACACAAGTCCTCGCTCGAGCGTGCATTCCCTCGCTCGAGCAAACTGTAAACACATGCAAAGTACTGGATACACGCATTTCACGCTCGAGCGTTACTTTACCCGCTCGAGCGGACTGCATGAACTCAGAGTGTACGCTCGAGCGTGGAGTTCCCCGCTCGAGTGTGGATCCAACATCTGGAATTTTCAGATTTGTCTCCAAACATGAAACTCAACATTTAAAGCATCAAAATCGATCCTTTTGGGCTAATTTTCTAGAAAACACTTTAAAACTCATAATATGACATGTTTCAAAGATCAATTTGCAAAATCAAAGCCCAAAGGTAGTTCAATTGAACCCATTTCCAAACAAAACTTCAAGAACATGATGTACATGCAACATGCATGAATTTAATCAACTTCAAAGCTTTTAATACAAGAACAAATGTGTCAATCCTTCAAAAAACATGCTGAATTCATGGACCAAAGCTAGAATATGAGCATGCATGTAGCAATTTTCATAAAAATAACCTTAAAATGTTAGAACATGTACATGCATGCATGATTTAAGCTTCAATTCAACATTTTGAACCAATTCTAGACTCTAATCACCAAACTTCCATGAAACATGCAAGATACAACTTAAATACAAGTTCAAGAAGATGATTCTCCTACCTTAGGTCCTCAATTTGCAGAACGGAAGCTCAATTTGCTATTATCCTTCAATTCCTCTAAATTTCAAGCCAAGATTTTAAGATGAATCAATTCTCTCCCAAGACACTCTCTCTCTCTCTCGGTTTTGGGTCTTGAATAAGGCTGAAGAGGTACTAAAGCTAACATATATGAGTCAACTAAATGGTCCTAGAATAATCCACTAAGTGGCAAAAGAGTAATAAACATAACTAGTGTAATTCAACATTATTTAATCCAATTTAATCATACCAAATCAAATTTTGATTAAACATACCATAAAATCACATAAATTCTAATTAACACAAAATACCAATCAATTTCAGATTCGGCCGCCGATAAGGCCTTCAATTTACAGTTCAAACTTAAAACATCAATTAACAGTCAAACATATAGAAATGCATTTAAACTAATACACTCAATCAATCAGTTCAGAATGTCAGTCAAATCAGTTACTTAATCATGTTCAGTCACAGTTTAGCAGTAATCAATGGTATTATCAGTAAACAGTGGTGAGGGTTGTCACAAGTAGCTGGATGATAGCCAATGAAAACACATGAAGTGGATCGAGGTTAAAGTTTATGAGAGGTATAAGGTCGTAACCAAGGAAAACACTCACAACCAAAGACCTTAAGAAAAGTGTAATCAGGAATGATGTGAAAAAAAAGCTGAAAATGAGATTTATGACCGGGAGAAAGGCTTGGCATTCTGTTGATGAGAAACACTGTTGTGGCCATGGCTTCAAACCAGTACTCCAGAGGAACAAAAGACTGAGAAAGTAAAGCAATAGCAGTTTCTCTGATATGTTGATGTTTTCTCTCAGCAATCCCATTTTGCTCAAGAGTATAGGGACAACTGAGCTGGTGAACAATGCCATGAGAGAGCAAATAGTCAGTCATTTTATGATTAACAAATTCAGTACCATTATCTGAGCGGAACACTTGAAGAGAAAGACCAAATTGTGTTTCAGCATACATTTTGAAAGAAACAAAAGTAGAATAAACTTCACTCTTGACATGCAAAGGATAAATCCATGTGAATCTTGTGAAATCATCAACAAACAAAAAATAGTACTTATAACCACATGTAGAGGCATGAAAAGGACCCCAGACATCACTGTGTACAAGAGAAAAAGGCTTAGCAACAATGGAACTAGAAAGCTTAAAAGAAAGCTTATGAATTTTTGAAACATTACAAGGTGTACACGAATATTCAGTACACTTATTCTTAAAAGAAACAGGTAAATGCTAAGCTATATGCTTGAATTTCAAGGTGATGGATGACCCAGCCTCGGATGCCATGTAGGTAAAAAAACTGAGCATTGAGAGGTGGTGAGATGAGCTTGTGAAAAGGAAAGAGAAGATGATGCAAATTGATAGAGACCATGAATGTTAGGGCCTTTATGGAGCACCTGGTTCGTGTGCTTGTCCTGAATCAGAAATGAGTTAGCATCAAACACAACTAAACAATTGTTATCTTTAGTCAATTTATGAACTGATAACAGATTAGAAGATATATGAGAAACATGAAGCATATTCTGAAGATGAAAACAATGTTGAGGAGTTGGTAAAATGCCCTTACCAATGTGTTGAATGGGCAAAGTCTGACCATTGCCAACAGTGACTTGATCAGATCCTTGATTGGGTTGATAAAGATGAAAGTTACCTAAATCATTGGTGATGTGGTTTATGGCTACAGAGTCAACATACCATGGTGTAGAAGGAGTTGAAGGAGAAGAAGATTAGGAATTCACAGCAGAATAAGCTCTTGATTGAGGCATATTAGAAGAATAAGGAAATTGAGATGAAGAAGAAGATTGAGATGGTTAATAGTTGAGATCATTTGAAACCAACAATCAATGGCTATATGACTGTAACCACCACAGATTTGGCACTTATAATGCTCCTGGTTTCCTTGGCCAAATCTTCCTCTTGAGCCTCTAGTATATCGACCTCCTTGAGATCTTCCTTCTCTTCCACCACGGAATGAATGTCTTCCTCTGTAA